GTCATTCTCCGTCCAGCTTTGTTCCTTTGCTGGTGAGGAGTTTTGGTCCTTTCTAGGAGGCGAGGTGTTCTGGTTTCGGGTTTTTTCCTCCTTTTTTCGCTGGTTTCTTCCTATCTTTGTGGATTTATCCGCTTGTCGTCTGCGTAGTTGCTGACTTTTCAATTGGGTCTCTGAGTGGACAACCAGATTGTTGATGATGAAGTATTTCTGTTACTTGGTTTTCCTTCTACCAGTCTAGCCCATTCGCTGTACGACTGCTGAGGTCCACTCCAGGCCCTGCTTGTCTGGGGTGCACCGCTAGCAGCTGTGGCACAGTGAGGGATGCTGCCAGTTTCTTTTTCTGCTATCTTTGTCCCAGGATGATGCCTGCCAAATGTCAGTCTTTTGGAGATAGAGGGGTCAGGGAGCTGCTTGAGGAGACAGTCTGTACTTTATAGGAGCTCAATTGCTGAGCTGTGATCTCTGTTGTTCATTCAGGGCTGTTAGGCTGCTATGTTTGATTCTGCTGCAACAGAGCTCATTAAAAAAAACCCTTTTTTTCTCAAATGCTCTGTGTTTGGGGGTTTGGCTTTATTTTTGGATGTTCGTTGAGGTGTCCTGCCCAGCTAGGAGGCAGACTAGCCACTGTTTGCCTGCCGAGGCTCCGCCCTGCTGTTGTGAGGCTCGCCCTGTTGGGGCAGGCTCTGCTGTTCTGCTGTGGTCTCTGCCACACCCTGAGGCAGAGTCTCTCTGTTGTAGCGGGTTGCCTCAGCAACGGCAGGCTGTGTCAGCAGTGGGCGTGTATCTCAGTTGGGGCGGGTTGCCTCGGTAATGGTGGACGCCCCTCCCCCACAGAGTGTCTTGGACTGACTGCGCAGGGATCGTTTGAAATCGCGGTTTTGTTCGTCCCACTGGGCTAGCCCAAATGCTGTGTCCCTGCAATCCCCTGGGCTGGCCCACTGTCCAAGTCTCATTCAGTCTCAAGTCCAGCCCTCTCAAGTCTCAGGTTGCCGGTTCAACAGGGCACCCGGACAAGCGCGCCCTGTGGGGAGTGCTGGGTAGGGCCGGCCGCTGCCACCCCGGCTGCCGGTTTTGCCAGGGAGAGGTACTGGCAGGCGTCCCGCGTCTCCTTTATACTTGGGAATTTCCCCGTTCTGTGGGCAACAAAGATCAGTCTGGAAATGCAGCTCTGACTCACCTCTTTGTGGATTCAAGGAGAGCTCCAATCCTGGGTTGTTCTCACAGCGCCATCTTGAGTCTTCCTGTGACATGTCTTTTCATCATCTTAAGAGAGTTTTGAAATGAGCTGCATTTTAAAAAATTCATAGGCGAATTGTTGGGAGATATAATTTAAATAATGAATTATAGGTTTTCTAGGAACACTCTACACATGAATGTCACAACAGAAGAAGACTTGAAAGATAATGGTCTGATTTGGTGATGACTATGATGTGAACATGTGTTTGGAGTACTCTCCAGCAGGTAACTAACAAGTGGTTAACTTGATCTTATTAAATTAGAAGAGTATAATTTTGTGCTGGCACTTCTAGTCCAATTTTTGAGTTTGTCTTAAATTATCCTAGTAAATTTTAGACCATTAAACTAATGTTTAAAAAGCAACAATTAATGTTGAGAACAAAAGCATTCATAAAACAGTTCATTTTTTAGGCTCAACAAGCACCAGAGCAATGAGTTTAGAGAAAATGTCTGTAGTCAGCAAGGTATGGTTCTGGGTGACATTCATCTTCTGATTCTATTACCAGCTGCTGGTTCTCTCTGTGTGTCCCACAGCCAGACTAGCCAAGAAGAAATCCATGTTGATTAGAGCCCCTACAGTCTGCTGGGCAAACCTCTCATGCATCAGAAATAGAGCTTGGCCAAGAGGGCTGGTGAGTTTGCTCTGAAAGGACAGTAGCTATGGCAGGTCCTCATGGTGGAAAGGGCTCTCCTGGGATCAACTCATTTCACATTCATTGTATTCATTATCTGACCTACATCACCCAACATCCTTGAGAAAGGTTTTTACCGTGTCAATATACTTAATTGCTATTTGCGTGTCTTCTTTGATGAAGCATGTGTTCTAATTCATTATCCATTTTTATTAGATTGTTTTTGTTATTATTGAGTTTTCCAAGATTTAAAAACATATATTCTGGAGATAAGTCTTCTGTCAGATATGTGATTTGCAAATACTTCCTCCCAGTCTGTGGCATATTCTTTTCATTTTCTTAACAGTATTTTATGAATAAGTTCCTGATTAGATGTTATCTGAATACCTGAAAGTGTTTAATAGCACCTAAGATGCCTACATAACAGCTTTGTTGACTGCAGTAAAGACTGTACGAATGTGTGCTGATATTAACCTGCCTCTGCATGTTCATATGTTTAGGCAAAATTTGTATATTTATATGTAACCCAGATGTTCACCAGCATCTTTGTACTGCTCAAGAGCTAGAAAAGACAGCTCCATTTCCTAATCCAGGTCTATGGATTCCTGAGGTGCGATGTGGGAAAGTGGAAGCTGGCCCTGTTGTCATTGCTTTGCCTTCTGTGTCTTCTTATTTGGTTCATCTATGAAGGTCTGGTCACCCCATGTTTCTTCCCCCATACTATTTCAAACATAAACCAGGCACTTTCTGAGACTTATACACAGAAATTCTACACATATAAGACTTTTTGTGGGTAACCATTTTTATTAAAGTTTTAAAGATGATGGTGGAGAGAGTTTCAACAAATCAGTGCATACAATTTCATGTTGCATATGAGATACCCTGTTTGGAAAAGTTTTTTTTCATCCCCGCCAGCAGAAGTTTTTACTCTCTGCCTTGTTTCGAGTAGTGTCACAGTTCCAGAGCTTTCTGGGGGATTCCTGTCTGTCTCTTTTTTCCTTAAAAGGAAGCTGACATAAAACATCTATTGGTATTTTACTGTCTTTTCTGTTGCCACACCCATAACCTTAAGATCTCACTAGATATTGAGTGAAGTTTCTTTAGATATTTTTCTACAGACTCATTAGATATTTTTCTAAACAAAGAGTGTTTTCCTTATGAGGTATCCTGGTGCCAGCCAAAATAATATTATTATTTTACTTAATTCCTCGTGCGTAGTCATCGGTTCAGCACATGGAAATGTACACATTTGGGCTAGTCACCTTCGTTTTTTTTTTTTGGAATTAATTTTAATTGCTATGTATCTTCTACTAGTTATGGACATATTTTTGACATTCTGGATGGGCTAACATGCTAAGCTGTGACACAATATTTCTAATTCTGCAGAAGTGCCCTCTCTCCTGTCATTCTGGCCCCAGCATGGAAGTAGAGCAGGTCTTTCCAAGAACTCGCTGGTTTCTAGGCCAGTTTAGCAGTTCAGTCGAGAGAAAGCAGTGGACAATAGGGGCCCATTGGTAAGAGAGATTTCTTTAGCTTCCTCTTGGCTGCTCTAGACACTGCCTGGACTCTGCATTGCTACTTGCTGATCTTGTCCTTGAGTTCAGGAACAAAGGGAGATCAGCAGCAGAAGGGCTTTTGGGAGAGCTGGGGTGGAGAGCTGGGGGAAGAGTGAAGCTTGAGAGGGGCTTGACTTGTTTGAGTCCATGGCAGCAGGCCCACCAGGATGTTTCTTGTTTACATAGCTGGTGTTATCCGCTTTGAGCCAGAAGGGGGAGACCTGAGTTCATTGTCTGCACAACAGTAGCTTTTCTGGAACTCTTAATGGACAGATTACTTCTCTTGAAAGCTGATTCCTTTAAAAGGAACTCAGATTTCTGTACTGCTCTTGGAAAAAATGCCTAGATACAAATAAAAACTTTTATGATTCTTCCCTTTGTACTTCTTTTTTAAATCTCCACTCACTATAGAGTGAATGAAAGTACCATGTGACCACAGGCAGTTACTAAATTTCTTTGAGATTTAGTTTCCTCTCCTGTAAAATGGCAATAATGTAATTGTGCCTACCTGAGGGGTTCTCGTGGGGATTAAATCTGATGACCTACATAGGACCTCAGCACAATGCCTATTTCATTAGAAGCTCTCAATAAACAGCAACTGCTAATGGCAGTAATAGCCATTATAACCCAAGTTCCCGAGTTTCAGTACAAAGACAAAAACCTAACCAGTCGGCCCATGCTGACCAGGTGCCCAAAGAGCTCCTAGAAAAGCTTGATATTTTTCCAGATGTAAGCCCCGGGAAAAATTAATGCCCTCTCGATCCCACCTAAACTTCCCTTTCTCCTGTGTTCCCGGGCTTTTTGCTGGGTTAGAAACTGGACTTAAACTGCTGCACCTGCCTTGGATTTGGCTTTAGGGACTATGTGGCATACACAATGCCGAGCAACAGGAAAAACTGGAAAGGACATTCCTGAAATTCTGCATGACCAGGCAGTGGAGACCAAAAGCAGACTTCGTTTTTTGAAAAAAATGGGGAGAAAACTAACCAGATGGCTAGAGTACAGAGGGTTCTTCTTCCTCTTGTGCCTGTGCCATGGTAGCAGACAGAGACCCGCAGCTCCCCTAAGATGTCCACACTTCTTGACTGTCCCGTGAAGAGCACGATAAAGAGATGCTGCTTAATAGTGTCGTGGAAGTAACTGGGACTTCTCACCCTTAAGCTTGCAGGGATGGTGGGGGTTACACAATTATTTAAAAATCTTTCCAGGAGCAGAGTATCCCCCAAATAACATGGTAGGGGTTAGGGTGGGCACAAAAGCTGGCCTATTCCTCTGGCTACTCCTGATGGTCAGCTAAATTATAACTTTATGACTGGAGAATCTGGAGTACATAGTAGGAGCAATGGGAACCCCAGGTTTAGTTCCAGACCCTCCTGCTTGCCTCTTCCCTTTTAATCCCATATCAGTTCATGCCATATTTATCCCGCGGTAAGGTTCAGGTCCCCTTATTATCTCTTACCTTGTGTATTCCACATGGCTTTCTTGAATTTTAAATTCCTTAAAGGGAGAGCCCAGAAAGTATACCAGTTTGGAGGTCTATTTTAAAAAGAATATCTAATAGGTATTCAGCAATTTTTAAAAATATGGATGGCCATATAAATCAAATTGAAATTAAAACTGCCATGTTGACTTTTGCATTAAAAATAATTTATTTTTCAAAATAAAAATTTAAATAAATAAAGTAACTCATAATTTAATAAAAATTTTAAAGTCTTCTAGTGTCCTTTCAAAAACGGTACATTAGCCATCAGTCACTTAAACAGCATTTGCTTGTTGAAGAATGCTTGAAGTAATTGTCCAGTCCCAGAGGCATACAGAGCCTAGGAGATCTTCAGTTTCAGAGGTAACTTGTAAGTCTGTTAATAAAGTAAAAGTTCCTGAGCATTTCCACTCTGACTATGGTCCAGGCACAGTGGCTGTACTCCTTGGCCTTCAGGTAATGCAGAATCCTCCCATAATATCTTTTCAGGTACAGAGTGCTCATGAATTTTCCCCTGGTGAATTCTTTTTCTTCCCATTTTTCTTTCAGGATTGTGTTCAGATGTTCTGCATGCTGATAGACATTAGCAAGGAGGTTCTCAACAATAGTCTCATTCCAGCCAGTCCTAGAGAAGTCTCCTCTGAAAATAGTAAAGATGTTCTCGAGCATCTCATAGATGATTAATGCGGCGTCCTCCTTCTGGAGTTGCTGCGGTTGTGTGATCTCCTTAGGGACCTCAAAGTTCATCCTGTCCTTGAGGCAATATTCAAGCCTTCCATTCAATTGCCACAGGAGCTTCTGACTCTGAAAATTGCTTCTTCTTTGTAGGAATCCAAGCAAGTTGCCACTCATGGAAATAGCTGTAGTGGAGAAGCACAACAGGAGAGCAATTTGGAGGAGACACTTGCGGGTCATGATGAAAACAGAAACAGTGTCGCCTACTACCTCTTGTGCCAGAGCAGTCTTCCAAAGGTTGCAGTTAGAATGTCCTTTCTCCATGGGTATGGCCTATTTATATGACAGGTCCTCTATCTATTCACAGGAATTTCCCACTTTCAGTTCTCCCTTTCAGTTTTCCTATGTCACTTTTACATTTGTAGTTAAGCTGTTTTATTCATGCAACTAGAATTGTTGCAAATGTACATAAAATATAGTATTTTGACCAAAGGAAGTTATTTCCAGAAAACTGAGGATGACTGAATATTATATGGCTTATATCATATGGAACAAATTATAAGGTTAATAACCAAATCTAGAAAAATAATTAGATATATTAAAAATAATATTAAAACAAGAAAGATCTTTCTCAAAAGATTTAAAACCCAGAAACTATAAGAGAAAATACCAGTAAATATGACTATAGACAAATTGTAAGTTTCCATAGGGCAAAAGACATAAAGTCAAAAAGGAAGAGCAGTATCAAAAACGTATTTACAGTGCACAATGAGAAGGGATGATTTACTTCATTTATGAAAAGCTCTTAAAATTAATAACAATTCAATATAAAAGTTTATAAATAGCCAGATACCAGGAAAAGCAATATAAGGCACCAATAAAGATATGAAAATCTGCTCTGTGGTATTGATTAAGAAATGTAGTTCAAACTTGTAATGAGGTAACCATTTTTCACCAATCAGATTTTCAAAGGGCACAGGGTAATGGGTATTTTACTATACTTTCAATGAAAGTATACCTTCTGCAAACTTTTTTGGAGGGTGGGAAAAATCGTTTTTTCAAAATTAGCCTGAACAATATCCACCTTGACTCTACCCATTAAGAGACGGAGTCTGTCTCTCTTCCTCTTGAATCTGAATAGATTTCTGTGATAGAAGTAATGCATGTAATTTTTGAGGCTGTGTCAGAAAAGATGATGTAACTTCTATCTTGCCAGCTGAAATTTTGCTCTTGAAGCCTTTGGCCAGGATGGTCTGACTGCCCTGAGTCTGTCATGTTGTGAGAAAGCTCAAACTAGTTTATAAGGAGAAACCATAAAAATTGACAGTATATTTCAAAATTTAAAATTTTAAGCAATGAAATTGTTCCTTTAACTTGCAATACCATGACTAGGAATGTACCTATGGCTATCCCTGCAGAAGTATGCATTCATATGTGTGTGTGTATTGTAGAGACATACCAAACATATATAAATGTTTATTACATTACTATCATAATAAAAAAGACAAATGTCCACAGTAGGGAGCTTGTCAAGTAATACTATCGTGTGGACAAGATGGAATATTATTCAGTCATCAAAAAGGATGGTCAGCTGATATAGATTCACCTGAAAAAAATCCAGAGTGTAGCATTTGGATTTAATTCAAGAGGTCTTTGGCAGAGAGGAGACTGGAGTTTTTCCCTGGGCAGAGCAACAGGAAGAAATGTTAGAGGTGATTAGAACAGGGAGAGGCAAGGAGAAGTCCTGCCCAGCAGTTCTCATGGCTGTGGAGGGTGAAAATAAAGGCCATAGCTGTGGAATGGAGCAAAAGGAATGGAAACAGAATACTAAAAAGGGATTTTTGTTTGTTTGTTTTCTTCTCTTGGTTCTTTTGCTACTTCCTGCTATTGTGTTCATGAGGTGCTTCCTAACACTCCATTTCCAGTTGCCTTTATGGAGTTTCTCCTCTACCCTCTCTCCTGAGGAATAGTCATAATCATGGCAGAAGCTCACCTATGAATGGGTAAAAGTTTCTTCTTTTTTAAGATGTCATTTTTTTTGGCTTCATTTCTCTCATTTTATTAGAGTTGTATCAGAATAACCAGGAAAATTTATTTAACCTTCTGTCTACCAGGGAAACACATTTCTTAGACCAGCCCAATGTGTATCTGCATTGTAAAGGTTAATGCCCCAGCCCTCTCCTGTCATCTTTCCCTTTGTTATTTGTCCCTTCTGTGGACATTATTTTTACACACATCTTTTTCTCTCCTGGTTAACTTTTCACTGTATGAAAAAACTACTTCCAGTCCCCGTACCAATTCTTTGTGGTTAATGAGGTTTGGAGAGACAGAATGACATCTAGCAAGTGAAACTTGAATGACATTTCCAGTCATTTGAAATCATCATTTTAGTTTGGAACTGCTTTCCTATATGTTTCAGAGATAGGAAGCATTTTGTCCTCCTCTTTTGAATATAATTATCTATGCAGGACTGTTATGTATCTAGAAATGAAAATTCCAGTTGTTTTCTCTTCCTCCTCATATCTTCAATTATTTTTCAAGGAAAAGGGTTCCTACAAAGAATGATAAATTATACAAGATAAAGAATTGAGAATTCCATAAGCAGTGGCAGAACAGAAATTAAACCAAAAGTAATCTTTCAAAATATCTTGGGAGGCCAGCAAATTCCTTCATAAGAAATTAATACATAAAAGGGAGAATTCCCATTCTCTTTTTTAAGACAAAGTTTATAAAACAATAATATACATAGAAAATTATGCATACATCTTAAGTAAATAGCTCAATGAATTATTATAAAATAAAAACATCGACACTCTTTTGTAACCACAAACTAAACGTTATCAGCACAACAGAAATTGCCCGCTTGTTCCCTTCTGTCTTAGTCTGTTTGGATTGCTCTAACAAAACACCATAGACTGAATGCTGTATAAACATCAAGCATTTATTTTTACAATTCTGGAGGCTGAAAAGGCCAAGATCAAGGCCCTAGCAGATTCAGTGTCTGATGAGGGCTTGCGCTTTGCTTTGCATATGGCACCTTCTCATTGCATTTTCATATGGCAGAATGGGGAAACAAGCTTCCTCAGGTTTCTTTTAGAAGGCACTAATCCCATTTGTTTGGGCTTTTCTCCCATTACCTAATTACCTATTAAAGGACCCACTTCTTTTTTTTTTTTTTGAGATGGAGTTTCGCTGTTGTTACTCAGACTGGAGTGCAATGGCATGAACTCTGCTCACTGCAACCTCCATCTTCTGGGTTCAAGCAATTCTCCTGCCTCAGCCTCCCAAGTAGCTGGGACTACAGGCGCGCACCACCATGCCCAGCTAATTTTTGTATTTTTAGTAGAGACGGGGTTTCACCTTGTTGACCAGGATGGTCTCGATCTCTTGACCTCGTGATCCACCCGCCTCGGCCTCCCAAAGTGCTGGGATTATAGGCGTGAGCCACAGTGCCCGGCCAGGACCCACTTCCTAAAATGATTGCACTGGGGATTAAATTTTAACGTGAAATATGGGGGACACAAACCTTCAGGCTATCGCACCTCTCAGTCATTACTCTCTCTCCTCTCTCGTCACTACTTTCTTTTCCCAATGTCACTGCCATACAGCCTTTTAATGCTTTATATTCTGCCTGTTTTTGAGCTTTGTATAAATGGCTTCTTCCTCTCAATAGAATGCCTGTGAAATTCATCTATGTTGTATGTATAGTTTATTAATTCACATTAATGTGTCTTACCCTATTCAGAAGTATACCATAATGTTTTATACCTTCTATTACTAATATTGCCACGATATTAATGCTACTATGAAATTCCTTGTCTGTACCTTTTACTGCACATTAGTATGTACTTCTTTTGGGCAAATGCTTAGAATGAAGTAACTGGATCATAGAATATGTACATGTTCAGATTTAACAGATAATATTGTAATGACTTCCCAAATGTTTGTACCAATGTACCTTCTTAGTATCAGTGTTGGAGAGTTCCAGTTGTATCAGACTCTTGCCAACTTTGATATTATCAGTCTTTTTAATTTCAGCCATTCTATTGTCATATAATGATACCTCTTTATAGTTTAATTTATTATTAATATGGTTTAGCATCTTTTCATATGTTTATTGACCATTTGGATATTTTCTTTGTGAAGAGCCTGTTCAATATCTTGTTGACTTGTCAGATTTTAAAAATTATATTCAAATGATGTAATTGTTTACATTTAAAATAGAAAAGAATTTATAGATAAAGTAATAGAATTTAGCAAGGTCAACAAACACAAGATCAGATTAACAATCAATTGCCTCTCTTTAGCAATAAAAAAGGTGGAAAATGACATTTTAAAAATATACCATAGACAATGTATAAAAATAATCTACTTGGAAATAAATCTAGGCAGAGAAGTGTAAGACTGTTACTGAGAAAACTTACAAATTATAAATGAGAGGTTAGAGAAGATCTAAATGAATGAAGATCTAAATAAACTTAAAAATTGTGAGAAAAATGAATAAGTAAATGCAGAAACAGATGTACTATATTCATAAACTGAAAGACTTAATATTGTGAAGATATACTTTCTTTCCACATAAATTTATAGTCAATACATTCACCCTCCAAAAAGCTGTTTGTTAACTTGACAACCTCATTCTAAAATTTATATAGAAGTCCAAAAGAATAACAAAAATATTCTTGTAGAACAAAATGAAAAAGAATGTTCCACTAAATATCAAGATTTAGAACAAAGCATGGGATGTGTGGGGATAGACAGATAGTCTGATAGAATAGAGCTCAGAAACAGACCCATTAATATGTGTAAATGACTTATTAAAAAATATGGCATTTATAATGGGGAAATGATGGTCTTTTCTTTTTTAGAAAAACAGGGAGATAACTGTATATTTATGTATAAACATACAGGGAGATAACTGTATATTTATATGTAAAACATGAAAGTGAACCCACATATCACACCATACACAAAAAAATAATTCCAGTGAATTACAAGTCTAAATTGAAAAGGCACAACTTTAAATCTTTTTTTTTACTTAATGATATTTTTAAAAATTGTAATTTAGGTTCTGGAGTACCTGTGCAGATTGTGCAGGATTGTTGCATAGGTACACACATAGAAACGTGGTTTGCTGCCTTCGTCCCCCCATCACCTATATCTGGTATTTCTCCCCTCATTATCCTTCCCTACCCTCCCCATCTGGCTGTCCCTCGCCTGGCCTCTGCCAATGACCACAGTGTGTGAGGCTCCCCTCCTTGTGTCTATTAGAAAATAATATAATAGCATGCCATCATGACCTCAGCATAGCGAGAAATTTCTTAGGACACAAGGTCCTAACCACAAAGAAAATATTGTTAATTAGACTGCATCAATATTAAGACTTATTTTTAAAATGACAGAATATATTTGCAACATCCCAGAAAAGAGAATTCTAATATGCAGATTATAAAAAGAAGTCTTACAAATCAATAGAAAATAAAAATAGACAAAAATTTGGACAAAAGA